TATAATATAATTTCAAAGTACATCTTTTGAATATAATTCAATTGCAATTTCATTTCAAACGTTGTAACACGCACGTTTTTCCCAAAAATATATAATAAACTAATAACTCGGTTCGGTTCAGCTTTTGTGTGCGAAATACGCAGCAAAAAACAGTTGGATATAAACAATATTGATTTGTAATGTAAAATAGAGCAGCAATCGAAAAAGTACATATTTAACATTTTTTGCTTATATATAAATTTATATTGGGTTTCTTTTCATTTTTGTTTCATAAAATATCATATTGTTTTTTGTGTTTGTTTCAATCAATTAAATTTGTTGCAACCACTTTTAACAAAACATTCCTTGAACTTTCTGCTTAAATTTAAGTAGCTTGAACTAATTAGAATATTTATGCATTGAAATGAAATATGGTTATAAAAAGAAATTGGCATTAAGTCATTGTTTTTTTTTTTTCGTTTGTTTTTTCTTTTTTTTTTTTGGGCTGGCTGAGGGCAAACCAAGAAAATGGGGCAGAAACAAGGAGTAATAGGTTGAGGATGGGCAGAAATTGGCGCTAAATTAAAGTGTGTTTTGTTTTTCTCTTTGTTTTGTATAAATGCAATTTCAAGTGTCTGAGTATGTGTATGTGTGTGTTTGTGAGTGTGTGTGTAGGTCAGAGTTTCTCTGTATCAAATTATATAAAAATAGTTTTTCTTATGAACATTTTGTCGTTTTTTGTTTGTTTCTGAATTGCATTGTAGAAAAGCTCCTGGGAGAGTGAGTGAAAGAGAGAGAGAGAGTATGTGAGAGACAGAGGGTGATGTGAGGGAGAGAGACAACCTGTACCATATTTTTGTTTTTTTGTTTTTGACACTAGTTTTCGACTAAGGACTCCGACCGAGCACGCCTGCTGCTCAACGCCCGCCCGCCCGTTCTGTTCCGTTTCGTTTCGTTTACCCCGAATCCCCGTCGCTTTCTGCAGCTGGCGCTGATTGGACTATTTACTCTCTCTTAGTTCTTCGGCCCCCACACCGAGGTAATGGGCGTGGCCGCTACAGAAGCACCGCCGGCGGCAAACACCGGGAAATCCTCCTGCGATTGGGTATTGGGCGCAATTAGATTCTTGGCTTGCTGTTTCTTCTCCCACGGTGCATCCTTCATGATGAAACCGTTCTCATTGCTATTGCCACCGCTACCGCCACCCGAACCGGAACTGGCGCCAGCGCCACCAGTGAGAAAGGCGCCCACCGTTTGCGGTTGCGGCGATGGCGGCAAATTCTCCAAGTAATCGCGCTCATAATCCTCAGCCATGCTCAAGAGCATTTCCTTGGCATTCTCCACATCCTCCTCCTTGCCAATGATGGTCACAGCATTTGGATTGGCTTGAGCATCATCAGATGATGGGAATTTGATGTCCACCTAAATATGAATATATAAACAAATGAATGATGGATGGATTCTACCAGTTATTCCATTCACTCAGCTCTCTCACCTTGTAATCATCGATGACCTTGCGGATGGTGCGTCCACGATGTCCAATGATGTGCGAATGGATGCGCGTATCAATTTCGATGACCTCACGATGCAACGTCTGCAATTCACCGACAATCTCCAGGATGGCATCACGAGCTGCCTCGGCCTTGGCCTGGTAGCCAGTTATGGAAATAATACGCTGATTGGGATCGTCGCGCTTAGGCAGCGAGATATTGACATCATAATCGGCGCGCAGCTTATTAATGACTGCACCCTGGCGACCGATGAGCTTTGAGTGATATTCCGGATCGACCTCAATCTGGAGCACATACGAGCGCAGTTCGCGATCAGCTCGATCTGCCTCATAGTCCGCAATCATCTTTTCGAGCGCTTCGCGTGCCTCGGCCACACGAGCCGGCGTACCAGAGACCTTGATGATGTCCGACTTTAGATCGCTGGGCGGTAGCTCCACATGGACATCGTGCGTGGACATAAACTGACGCACATTGGCGCCGCGCGGTCCAATGATGGTGCGATGCAGATCGAAAGGAACTGTCAGCTCTTCCTCGACGGGTATAAGATCGAGCAATGCCTGCTTTGCAGCATTGCACTTCTCGATGCGTCCGGTGATGCGAATGACGTCGCATTGACGCACCGGCTCCGCCGCTGGCTCACCCTCGCCGCTGGCCTCACCGTCGCCATTGACGCCATTGGTCAGATGTTCGACGGGCTCGGTGGCATCACGATCGGGGAACTTGATCTGCACATCGAACTCGGAGGTGACCTGCTGCACCTTGAAGCCGCGTGCACCCATAATGGTGCGATGCTGACGCTGAGGTATGACCACCTCAATGGTTGTCTGCGCCTCCAGATCGGCAACGATCTCCTCGATTCGTTGCTTGGCTGCCTCGATGCACTCCTTGGCGCCTTTGATGGTCACCTTATCGGAGTTGGTGCCAGGACGTGGGAACGAAATCATAACGCCGCCACACTCCTCCGAGATGCGATGCAGAATGGTGCCACGCTTGGCCACAAAGTGCTTATGATGTTTGGGATCAACGATTACCTCGCCCTCAGTAACCTCGTCGCACTCCTTGATGATTGCCTCCAGTTGCTCTTTGGCCTTCTTCACGCTCTCCTCCTTGCCAATGATAGTGATGGCCTCCTTGTCACTATCCTCGTTTGAGGGAAAGATGATGCGTGCGCCCGTCGCATCACGAATCTTGCGTATGGATGCACCATTCTTGCCAATCAGGAATTTATGATGCTGCTGCTTGGCGCGCACCTCCACGCTAAACGAGGCCTGTTGCCGCTCATTGGCTAGCTCCAGC